CACTCAACCACCCAACCACTCACCCACCCACCCAACCACCCAACCACTCACCTAATCACTCACTCAACCACTCAACCACTCACTCAACCACTCAACCACTCACTCACCCACTCACTCACCCACCCACCCACTCACTCACTCACCACTCACTCACCCACTCACTCACCCACTCAACCACTCACTCACCCACCCACTCACTCAACCACCTAATCACTCACCCACTCAACCACTCACTCACTTAACCACCCACCCACCCACTCATTAACCCTCTCAACCACATACTCACTCAACCACTCACCCACCCACCCACTCACCCACTCAACCACTCACTCAACCACCCACTCAACCACTCACCCACCCACTCAACCACTCACCCACCCACCTTATCACCCACTCAACCACTCACCCACTCAACCACTCACCCACTCACCCACTCAATCACTCAACCACTCACTCATCTCCCTCCTTCACTGGTCGCTTCGCTCCCTGCCACCTTCCTCCATCACCTCCTCCGTCGGCGTCCTTCACCCAAATCCTCCTTTTCCACTATTCCCCTCCACCCCCAACACCGCCTCTCGTCAACCCATCTTCCTCCCTCATCGCCCTCTCTCGACCCTTCACCTTCCTCACCTTTTCACCCACCTCCCTCGCTGCCTCCTTCACCCTAATTTGACCTTTTTCCAATCTCCCCCAAATCGCCCTTAAAATGTGCCTAAAATAATCCCCCTTTACTTCTTTTAATTCTCCCTTACTCCACCTTTAATCCAACCACAATGACCATTATAATGAAGTTCATTACCTTACCGAGGATGCTAGAGAAAAAGCCTTGAAGGATATTGATACCCGCCGCATCTCTCTTGGTAAGCTTGCCGGACAGCTTTCGGGTTTTATTGGCGGTGGAGAGGAAGTCAAAAATGCTATTATAAAGGGTTTGCAGAGTAATGTAAATCAGCTTGAAAAGCTTTTAAAAACATCTTGCGGAGATAAGGGGTGTAATTGTAATATTAAGAAATTCCGTGATGAAAATCTTAAAAATCTTCAAAAGCAATTTAATGACATTGATGAAATTGCAACAAAAATTGATAGCCTTAAAAAGCAAAAAGATGTTGCTGAAAAAAGGAAGGCGCCTGTAAGGGCGCCGCCCGGCGGTGATCCTGAGATTGAGAAGCAAATTGATGCAAAAACTCTGGAGCTTGAACAGCAAAAAAATCTTGTTGAAAAGCAAATTAAAGAGCTTGAAAAGGCTTTAAGTGTGCCTAAAAGCAAAATTGAGTCTGAGATCTCCAACCGTCAAAAGAGTGTTGCTGAGCTTGATAGGCAAATTGAAGCAGAGCGTAAAAGGCAAATTGATGATTTTCAAAAACAGGGATATGATGCTGAAAAAGCAAAAAAATATGTCTCCATTCCCTATCATCTTTCCAATTCTCTTGAAACTGAGCAGGCTAAATTGATGTCTCATGAGGCTTCGTTGGAGTCTCTTGAAAGTCTTGGAATGCTTATTACATTTCATCAGAGTGTTCAAACTCCTCAAAGTGGAGAATGTGAAAACATTTTAGATAAATTGTGTACAGGTCTCCAAACATTTTTAGGGTACAATGAAACTTCCAAAGGCTACGATGGCACTGGCATCGTGTACTCGGACCTTGACAGGCTCTGCGACGGGGTGATGGCTTTCCTTCATGGAGTTCTTAAAGATGTAAATGACAATCCAAATCTACAGAAATATAATACTGATTTGCCTAACGTCCTCCAAAAAATTAAAGAAGCTCTCTATAATAGAGATAATTTTGATAGTAGTATTCGCGCAGTGAGTGAGGGGATTAAGCAGTGGGTGAGCGGGGTGGATGGAAAGCATAGAACTGTAACAGCGCCGTTAGGTAATCTTAAAATAACAATGGATGGTCATATAAAGGCTCATATGGATCGTATGCCGATTACAGAACAATTGAGGAATTGGCAGGGTTTTGCTGGACTATACCTTGGTGAAGTTCAGAAATCTGAGAAGGCCCTAAAAAATATCGACGACAATCTTGGAATTAGGGTGTCGCCTTATATCGAGTTTATAAGAGAGATTGTTGAGAATTTTCGTAAGTCGGTAAATGATGAGAGTGTTACAAATTCTGTCAAGGCACTCAACGCTAAATTCATGTACCATCGAAAAGACGTGGCTTCTCACATTGAGACCAAAATACAGACCGTAAAACAATCGTTGAGTGAGAAGTTGGGACAAATTGGCAAGGATATTGAAACTCTTAAGCAGGCGAGAGACACGCACATTAAGAGTATTAGGAATGCCATGAAATTGGCGCAGCAGGCGGCGGACAATTTGCTTGGAAAAACGGGTACCGAATTTGATACCGCTTACAAGACATTAATTACTAATAAGTTTACTGAAATAAAAGAAGCAATTGAGAAGTTTGCTAAGAAAGATTCCGGCACCACTCCGCTTCAGACAAATTTCAAGACTGTTCAATCTGAGGTTGGCAGCCTGGAAGAGAAGGTGAGAAAGGATTTGGAAAATTTGAGAAAGCAAATTAATGACGTTACAGATCGGCTTGCCAATGATGATGTTAATAGTAGTTTGGTGAGTGAGCAGTTGTCTCAGCTTGAAGACGCGAAGAAAAAGCTCCTTAAGGTTACTGGCACTAAGGAATCAAGTGATGGTGACGAGGGGAATCTGGAAAAGTTATTTGAAGATCATATCAAGAATAAGCTCAGTGAATTGGTCAAAAATGTTGATGAGAAGATAGTGGCGATTGGAAAATATTTTGGTGGCGGAAAAACTATAGAAGCCTGTCTGTCTAACATTAAGAAAAAGGTTATTGAGGAGAGTGAAACTGCACTGAATGGTGGCTCAAATCAAATTGTGAGTAAGTACCATAAATGTGTGGACAACTACATCACGAATTACGAAAAGACTGTAAATTTATGGGTTAACGAATTCGTAAATACTATGGAGTTAGCTAGGACCATATACATCGACGTTATTGGAACAGGCGGCCAATGGGATTGGAAAAATATAACGCAGGCTATAGAAGCAGGCAAGCAGAGGATTATTCAAATTGTAAAAGGCTTTGGCGTAAAGGCAAACCTCAGCGCAGATGACGTAGAAGCTACATTGCGTAGCGTTAAAAGTTTTCTTGATCAAGGTCCGTCCAAGATTGATCAGGAAGGTAGTGTAACTGAAGTAGCTGGTATAATTGAGACTAAAGCGACATCCGGCAAAAATACGAATAACCAACATCTGATATCCGCCATCAAAGCCATATTCGGATCCATCTGTGCCAAAGCCTCCGCCGCCTCTAAAGATATTCAAACGCTAATAGAGGAACCGAACATCAGCAACCTGAAACAGGCTCTGACAACTGCACCGACGCTAGTTGCGAAGCTTGGAATGGTGGATGCCAAATCGGTAGATGCGGCCATTGACGCACTTAAATCTGAAATCGACAGCCAGCTTATGGGCAAGTTTCGGAACAGCGTGAAGAACGGACTTGAAGGAGCCGTGAACATGTTCCACGCCGATGCGAAAGAACAGCTGAAGGACGCGGCAGAGAAAGCGATTGAGACGGCGGCTGGGAAATTCACGACTGTCAGTGGTGATGCGAACAAAATCAACGTCAAGGCTATGATGTCGGAATTCGAGACGTCTAGAAAGGCGATTGAAGAAGCCGTAGATATAATCGACGCTGAAATTAGGCGACTGAAAAAAGTCCCTGCCATTGTCGAACAAACCGGAAACAATGCTGGAGAGTTGATGGATGAATTAAAGGGAAGGATTGATGGAATCAAAAAAGCAATCGACGCCATCGCTAAACCTATCAACGACGCCGAAGATGCCTTCGACTCCGCCGTCGAGGCACTCGATGGCTCCCTAGTATTGGCTCAGAGCGCCGCGAATGGAAAATTGCAAGATTTACAATTTGATTTGCAGGCGCGTGTAAATAAAGCACTACATGACCTCGAGGATGCTGTACAGAAAATGTACGACGATCAAAAAAAAGCCGAATTAAGAGCCTTGCATAGTTCTGTCGCTGACCAATTCTCGAACGTACGATCTTTAATTGATGACGACATGGATATGGGCCTAAAAGGCCTGATGGGAAAATTAAAAGAAGCTTTTCTGGTATACAGGCCGTATCCTTCAGGTACCGATCTCCGTCCATTCACCAAGAAAGTTAATCAGTTCCTCACAAAATTCTTCGACGAACTGCTGCTGCAGACAGATTTGACAGATGACCGTGAACGTATGGACCCCCTCACCTCCGCCCTCTCCTCCCTGCTCTCCACAATGTTCAATAAACAACACTTCCACCGCGAAGTCTCCGACAAAATCGACGCGCTCAAAAAAGCGCTCGACAACTTCACTCCAACACAATTCCACGAAGCCTCTCCCCTGCTCAACGTCGTAAAGCGCGGCGTCACGGACCTCCACGAGCAGCTTCGCAAGCAGTACGTCAGCAGGTACTCGGGCAAAGAATGGAATTCTCTGCAAGAGCCGGAAAAGACAAATTGCGCCCAAATTCTCGTCACCATCCTCAAGACATTGACTCACGATTTACGTGAGCTTCATGAGAGATGCGACAAGAAGAAAGGTGATTGCAGGGAAAACAAAATTTCCCTCATATCCAAGCCAAGCGTCTATAATCCCCTCGGCGCATTTTTCAAGGACTGCGGCTTTATTGTTTCCAAGTTGGAAGAGTCCTATGAAGGAGAGCTGAGATGTCATGAGCAGATGAGGGGGGGGGACATTTATTCGAGAAACTTGTTGCTTCGCTGCAAGATGTCAACAAAATTCTACATCTTCCGAAATGCGTTACAGACAAAACTGATAACTTCACTGTCATCGACCTACTTAAATGTCTCACAACTCACGTCGGTGAGTATTACCAATCTTGCCACCTCGGACTCCCGAAGTCCAAAAAGTATCCGTGTTCCATTCGTGATATTTGTGTATGGCTTTCTGGCCTTCCTCACACTGCAGTTTATAACACAATTCAGGGGCACTGTGATAAGATGCTCAATCAGAAAGACGAAGCGACCGGTGCATTCCCCAATCAGGCCGATAAAGTCATGAAGAGATCCTTGCAACACCTATACGGTACCATTAAAAAAACATGTCACTTGTCACATAGATTATTAGTCTCCATCCAGGGCAACGGACGTGGCTACGACCACGCTGCGTATCCCTATGCGTGTTGCTTTGAGAACAACCACGGAGGGTTCTATTACCCCGGTGATCCGTCGTCGTTGCTTGACATGTTGAAAGATATGTGTATGCGTTTGTTGCGTGCAGTGTCTTTCTTATACCAGCAATGTAAGCACACAGCATCCGACGGCAACGGGTGGCGTGAGTGTCAATATGGTTATCGTGTCGGCACCTACCACTGGGATTGCGACAAGTCAAGCGATGACTCAAACACACAACCAAACAGACAACCTAAGTGCCAACCAAATAGTGAACCAAATGACCAACCAACGTGCTTACCAAAGTCCCCGCTTCAGGCCCATCTTATGGATGGCCTTCCTGGTTTCATGCCGCATAAGTTCACAGCTGTCGGTTGCCAGGCCATGTGCTCAACGTGCCCTAAGGGCTCACTTGTTGGTCAATGTATTACCCCAATGGGCTTCGCAGATTTGGCCACTGCGGGCTCTATTACAGGCCGTGGCGATGACCTCGTTGATGTGCTTTCTACGCTTTGTAAAAATGGCGGTTCAGTTCTGTGTGAATTAGTGCACGCATTACAATGCATATCGCCCTCTCCACCGAAGGGCTTGGCAGAGATGTTCTCGTACTACTGTAACGTAATGCAGAAATCGTACGGTGCAGTGTATGGTCATTATACGCAAAGCAAAGATGCAATTGATGAAGCTGTTAATAATAGTTTCCCATTTAACAATTTCAAAACGCTTCACCAAAGTTACCGAAATTCACAACTCACTGAAAAGTTCAGAGATTTGTATTGTTATAATGGATCCCATAACAAACATCTCGACGAAGGCCATTGTGACCTTCAAAGTCTGTCCCCAAATCCTACATCCACCAAATTGAATGAGTGCTCTACTGCTAATTCCACCTGCGCCCCTTACCTCAAAGCTCTGTGTCACGATGCTCATCACACATACCCTGCAAAACACGCAAACATGTATCTGTCATGGCTTTGCCGGTTGGCGTGGACATTCTGGGATTTGCTTGATCAGTTGCTCAAGGCGTTCAATAACATATCCTGTCAAACATATGGGTGTCTATGCAAATGCGGTTTTGGTAAACACGGCGTCACTGAGGAAGAAACATCGCAACCTCCAAAAGTTCCGACGCCTGCCAAAATAAGTTGCAGTTGCACTTCGATCGTCGAGTGCAAAGGACCTATGTCCGTATTCTACCAGTACGGTTTCACATTCGGAATGCCGAAAGAGTTAATGGGATCCGGAAGCAAGAAGACATGTGACAATTTCGTAAAGCAGTTGAACAGAGTTTTAACGAACGGATACTTCAAAGAATTGTTTGATGAAATCGATGATTTCATCTGGGCAATACGTACACCCTTCTCATACCTCTTATTAGCCCTCTGGTCGCTGTCGCTCCTGTACCTGCTGCACATCACCGTCGTCCGCCTCGACGTCCTGAGGATACGCTCCCACCTGAGATCACCCTCAAGCCACCGCATCGCCGCACAGTCCCTCCTCGCCGCCGCACGCGTCAAGGCACTCGCAAACGTCAAGTACTTCTCACTATATCGTGTTTCACGTGGATCTGTGTAT